TTTTTTAAAACTTAGAATATATATATTTTAAAATTTAGTAATTTTATACTGTATTACTATAAATTTATTGTATGTAGTCATGAAATTAAATTAGATAATTGTATAATAAAATTTTGCATTAATTTTGATTGCATATTGATTAAATATAAATAACAACTTTTTTTAGTTATCTTCTTTTTAGAATCTTTGAATCTTTATACCAAAAATAGCATGAAAGTCAGACACTTGTAAATATTAATATTTATTTTTATATAATAGGCTATATTGACTATTAACTTAAAAATTTCTCTTTTGTAGCTAAAAGAGTAACAAAAAGCACAAAAGCAAAGATTACACAACAAGTACAAAATATTTCAAGAACAAAAAGACAATGAACAACACATTAAACAAAGATTAAAGATATACTAATAGTTTTTTATTTTTAATAAAACAAAATAGTTTCTTATATTTGTAACAAAAAATAAAATTAATCTTTTAATTTTTCAAAAGAAAATATTAATGTTAATCTAGAGGCACAAGAGTTACAAGAACTATTTCAAAATAATATTGTCAAATCTTCAACATTAACAAATACTACTAGATATCAATATAAAGTGCTATTACAAAATAACTCACCTTTATCTCATTGACAATGCTCATGCTTACCTTCATTTCATCAACAACATTCATCCTTACCTTCATCTTATTGACAATGTCTACCTTCAATCTATCGACAATGCTTACACTCACCTTCATCTTATTGACAATGCTCACCTCACTTTCATCTCTTTAGCAATGTTTATGTTTACCTTCATCTCATCAACAATGCTCACACTTACCTTCATTTCATTGACAACACTCACACTCACCTTCATCTCATTGACAATGCCTACCTTCAATTCATTAACAACAATGCTCATCTTCTATTCATCAACAATGCTCACCTTCAATTGAATCAATTAAATCTAATAACTATATTGAGCAATATCAATGAATTAATATTGAAAAACAAGCTTCAAAAGATCTTTTTTATAAACAATCTAATAAATACTCATATTTTCTATCTGCTAATAATAAAGATAAATCTTTAGAAGATGAATATCTTAATCTTGTAATTTCTAAAGAACTATTATATTCTCTTTTAAATATGCCAAATACAAATTATATTAATTCTTATTCATCTAGTAAATCAAAAAATAGTCTTTTTTTTCAAGATGAAACACAACTTCTTCAATAGTTAGAAACATATAAGGATTTAGCATTATAGGCATTAAATTTAAATAATAATAATAATATATTATCCAACAAGGTTAGTTATAATTATTTACTTTATTACTTTATA